GGCCGCCCGCCCCCGCTGCTTCCCCCCGGGCCCCGTGACTGGCGGCCTCCGAAATGTCGGTGTGCAGGCGGCAGGGAGCGAAAATCAGGATTTGTATCCAATGTGCCATTCCCATACTCCACAGAAACACCCAGCGTCGGAGGAAGGACGGGGGAAAGGCGCAGGATGGAGTTATTCCCGACACGGAGAGGCTCTGAAGGTTGATGGAGAAGTGAATTACAAAAAGGATATCAGGAAGCCGATACCTTTTATATTTGAATAAATTTGGTTTATTTTAATCAAATATCAATAGCAGAAGGTTAAATATATTTCTAAGATCTTTTATTCAAATTTATTAGATTTATTTAATTTACTCAACATAAGATAAGAACAAGAATTAAAATAGTACAAGTGCACTTGTCTTGATTAATAAAGCATTGTTAAATGTCTTGCTTATTGGTATCTATTATTAGGAAGTTTATGTCGTTTCCCGCAATCACCGTCTTTAAAGATTGAAAAAAAAATATATATATTTATATATATCATTAGAAATGTATTGTTACAAACTCTGTATCAAATTTCCAAAAGAAGCAGATGAACTGCTAAATCTACAGATTGTTCCGGATACAGTTAAAAACAAAACAAAACAAAACAAAGCCACAAACAACTGAAGCACCCGAAGCAGAGAAATGTCAAGCGGAGGGACACGGGGTCACTCGTCCCACGACAGGACCACGTACAAGGCGAGACGGGGCCGTGATGTCGGGCTGTGGCGCTGGTTATTTCTGATAGCCTTTCACAAAGGCTTTTAGGGCAAAATCTAATTCGTTTGGCCTTCAGCTCTGTCTTCTTCCAGATCATGTGCTTCCTTTTTGGCCTCCCCTTCCTTTCCCTCCTGTCTGGAAGCGGGGAATTTGTCCTTGTTGTTCTCTTTTTTCCATTTCATCCTCCTGTTCTGAAACCAGATCTTTACCTGCCTCTCGGTGAGTCCTAGTGCGTGGGACACCTCGATCCTCCTCTTCCTGGTCAGATAGGGGTTAAAGAGGAACTCCTTTTCCAGCTCTAGAGTCTGGAATCGGCTGTATGTTTGTCTTCCTCTCCTCCTACCCGGCGCTGCTGTTTGAAACAAAAACACAGGGTTTTGGAGGTCGGTGTGGCCGTTCAAAAGAAGGCGCAGGCAGGGAGCAAGGGCTCGGGTCCCTCTGGAAGTCCCTCGGGGGAAGGAAGCCCCACAGAAAGGCAGGGAGAGAAAGCAGAGGGCACGGAGGAGCCTAGAGCTTTACACACGAGTGCGGGAAAAAACAGCGACAGCAGATGCACCAAGCGCCTCAGCTCTCCCCCTGGACCGAGTTTACGGGGTCACTTTATTAATCTGGTAACCGGCACCCCCCGGCCCTGCACCCTTCCCGTTCAGACAGCGGCGGCGGGAGCCGGGCGAGCGTGTCAGCTGCGCCTCTGTGTCCCAGAGGCGACTTTAAGGCTACTCTTGGGGTGGCAGCCGCCTTCTGCAGAGGTTTCTCTTTGCTTACTGTACCGTTTTATTATCGCAAGCCACCGCGGCGGTAGGAATCGCGGGGAGAGAGGCAGGGAGAGCGGGCGGCAGAGGCAGGGAGCGAGAAGCAGCGAGAAAGAAGCGGGAGGAGGAAAAGAAAGTTTCAAACTCAGACGTGAGATGGAAGCAAATTTTTGACTGCGTCCAACCTTGTGGTCTCATCCAGGGAAACATTTGAGCAGGAGACGAGCTCTGATTTAAGTGGTCTGGTTCCTCGCCAATATTAGCACTGGACGATTTACAGTCAGGATATTGTACCAGCTCGGCCTCTTGCTGTGTCGTAAAAATCTGCTGTCTCTGTAAGTTTTCGTATCCGTAAAATTTAGCGGGCTCCCCATGACAGGTAACCCCGCTACAGGGGGCAGGAGGCGGAGGCGCGGCGGGGGGAGGCGGAGGCGGCTGGTAGGCGGCCGTGGGGCTCCC